AAAGTCCTTATAACACTTCAAAAAAATGTCACATGAAAACGGGTGCCAAGGGAGACACCGTACATAAAGAACAGGGAAGCGAGAAGAAATATAGATCCAAATTGTTACAATAGGGGAAAAAGCTCTTTTTTTTTGGTTTCTTCAATGTCCCCTTTTCAGAAGACAAAATATAAAAATCCCCAGTTCTACGGAGAGCCCCACATTAGTCGCCTCTTACGACACAATGCAGGATACAGCTTGCCGATTTTTGTCCCGAATTAACAAGAGATTGCTGCATAGTAAATACATGTATAGAAACCTAAATAGAAGAAGTAGAAAAAGGAGAAGGAAAAGAAGAAGAAGAAGAAGAAGAGGAATAAGAAGGAGAGGAAAAAGAAGAAAAACAAAACAACGAAACTGAAACAGAAAACTTATGTAATAAATCATATTGAAAAACCTTATATTTGATTGTTATTGGTTTTTAGATAAATCAGTGTAAAATTGATTGGAAAATGATGAATATTCTCATTTCGTTTTCGACGTTACGGTCAAAGTGGAATTCTTGTACTCCCCGATAATCCGTCAACGGGACAGCATATATTTATCAAAGTTTAAGCACAGATTTGAAGATTTTACGATAACACAACTTCACAAGACATCCTTCTTTCTCCTGCAACAAGCTCCCTATTCTGGAGATCACACATCTAAAATACTTCCGTTTCCGGACTTTTTAAATTGTAAGGACAGCACCAATTCGCGCATGTCTATTTTCGTGGTTTCAGAGTAAAAAATATAACGTGGGGCACGGAAATTGCTGTTTCGAAAAGTCTAGGTCGGCAGTGTTACTTAGTTACAACTTTTGTATTGAATTCCAGAATTCACAACACGGCGAAAAATAACGCTGTATGCAGTATACCGACAACCGATTTTGATAAAGGTCTAAAAGGATATTATTATTTTCTTTATCACATAATGTACTGTGTTATCAAGTGAATATATCCATGTCATAGTTTTGCATATTAACCTATGTAATATGACCTATCATCCCTGTGATTGGTTGTAAGTTTCAATTATTTCAATTGTAACGTCACGCCTAGGACACGTGCATGACGCCACAGACGTACGCACTATAGTCGAAATGGCGGCTTTTTTTCGTTTCAAGATTGCATAAAAATTGTCGTTTTACACGAATAAATGCCACAAATCTTGATATTGTGATAAAAAGGATCTTACACTCGTTTTCAATTCATATGAAAATTATGAAACTCGTCACGAATTTGTCATTTTAGCTCGCAAGAGGCTCGCTAAATTGAAAGATCTTAGACTCGTTTCATAAATCTCACGAGTAATGGAAACTCATGTACGATCCTATATAATACGAGGATTGGTTGTTATTTGGACAGACAATGGTTTATTCTATATATTCACGACATTATCCGGACTAACGAGGGTTTGTTGTATACACATACAAAATGTCCGTCCTAACGAGGGTCCAACTATCAGGTGTTAACTGTATACACAAACCATTGTATCCGGAATAACGAGGGATTTTTGTATACAAATAAAACATGGTCTGACGAGGGCGTGATATACACAAGAAAGTACGGACTAACGAGAGTTTACTTTATAAACAGATCAGTGTCCAGACCAACGTTTTTTTTTTTGTTTACAAATCAAAGTAATGAAGATTTGTCGCTTGATACAAATTCGGAAGTCTTTTTATACGTTCATAATTTCATTAAATCTAGCAAAAGATTTTAAAGAAAAGTGCACAACGCTATATATTTAATTGTTTTAATTTCATTATCCGATGTTACTGTAGTATTGTGCTATCACTTATTCAACTGCTAAGGTAACACTGTTGGCCCAGCTGGTATTATTAAGATGAAAGACTACGGAAAAGAAGAGGATCTGCGTGGTTACGGAAGAGGAAAGTTTTTCAGGATTGAGATGAACAATTTGTAGTGCGTAANCTCTCTCTCTCTCTCTCTCTCTCAAGTATGTGTTTGTTGTAAATTAATTTATGTATTATTAGAAATTGCATTATATTTATATGTTGTAAACCATTATGGAAAGGGCGTTTATAAGTTGCAATAACTTGTGTCCAATCCTTTTATAATTATATTGCAATAACATATGTTTAAACTAAACAAAGTCTCCGAAATAATGAAGGTTTTTCACAAACCAAAAATATACGGTATAAGAATTTTAAAAGCATCTAAGATGTCGGTTATTTCAATTTAGTCGCCATCTCTCATACGAGCAGATTGTCTGTAACATTTTAAAGTCCGAAGGGTCTTCTGAATACACTGTATATTATGCTTTCGGGAAAATATAGGGGCTTTAAAACGGGAAAATATAGGGGCTTTAAAACGGGAAAATATAGGGGCTTTAAAACGGGAAAATATAGGGGCTTTAAAATGGGAAATTGAAAATAACACATGGAGGTTCAAGTTCAAGTTCAAGTTCTTTATTAACTTCAAGTCTTGCGACTTATCAGTGTAAACATATAACAAACAGGATATCTACATATGTACAAAAAGCCACATTGGTCACAGGAGAATGAACAATACACATATCCAAACTGTCAAATGGTGACCTTGTTGTGTTTTAGCTACTGGAATCAGGGATTCTTAGAAGAAAAGAACTGCAGGAAAAATCGGGGGAAAACGTGTAAAGAATATATAATGTTTAACCATTCTATGACCCTGCTATATAACCCTTCCAATTTCGGATGACATTCACATCTGCTATGAATATCATGGCCCCGTATTGACATCATTATTTAACAACTATGCATAATAGAAAACTGTATTAAAAGAAAATGCTGAATTTTGACAAACAAATTTTTGATGAGGTTACAAAGTTAATGTGAATGCTAATTCGCGAACGTGCAAATCCGAAATTACACACAACGTCACGTTGCAGTTGTCATTCATATTGTCAATGAATAGTACTGTTGTCGGAGCCAGTTCAATGCTGAATTAGTATCGTTCTAGAGGCCGCACGCGGTGTCCAAGTGGTTAAGGCGTCTGCTTGCTTACGATCATTAGTCCTTCACCACTGGGTCGCGGGTTCGAGGCCTACGAGGGGCAGTGGCCTTAAAGTCTGAAATATAAAAAAAAGGTATACAAACTCTTCATAGATTAAATGGATAACTGTGTCTGAATTAGTTTCGTTAAACTGAACTCGTTTTGTATTCATGTGTTTTCACACTTTTGATAGAAGCCACATGTTGTATTTATCAGTGAAATAAAGTTAAAATGTCTCCATTAGGGTGGCCTTTCTCATTCACATTTCCTGTTGGAGATTTTGTTATGATTGGAGAGGGATAAAAGGCAGCTAAGCAATTACATTTTATGTTCATTCATGCATGATTTTTACGCATTGCTTTATTTCACTTTTTCTTTTACGGTAAAATAAGCTCCTTCAGTGACGTACATTGTATTTTACTTTACCATAAATTTCGCTATGTTGTTATTTTTGCTGTTTCTTCTTACTGCGAAAGTAACTGATAGCGCGAGAAATTACCCTATAGTACACATATTATAAAATGCACTTGACCTCGTTCTGACGATTTGCGTGTATAATGGTATTTTTCTCCAACAGCTGCCTTTAAAATGGCGTAATTTAGGAATAGTCCTGTCCTTGTTTGTGTTGATGTTTGTCTAATGCTGTACGTCTAGGCAACACCTTCTGTGACATAAGGAAGACATAACATCCATGATCTTTTTTTTTAAAGTTCAAAAAATCCCTTTTTAAAAAAGTTCGAAAACAAAAATGCTGAAAAAGTGATAAAAGACATCATTTAAGTGCGTTTTTTCCCGAAGTAAGGGTTCAGCCACATTTCAGTATTGCTTTCCCTACGAGGAAAATTTTATTTAGTTCAGAAACTAAACCGAAACAGAAGTCTGGACCATATAAACGTGTAATACTATCCGAATTCCAACTGGTATTTTACCGTATTTTTATTAGATACCACTCAAGACCTAGTCTCATGCCGTGTGACCCTGGTGTGCTCTGCTATGCATGAGTTAACAATCCCCGAACCCTTCTTTTATGTGTTTTCCCCCGCTTTTGAACGGGGTTTAACATCCTTGAAAAAGCGAAGGTCATATGAAGATACCACATCAAGAAAAAAAATGGGAAAGAAAGGGAAAAAAAGAAACGAATAAAATCCAAGTGTTTAAATGGAGACAACAGATCCTTTATGGTCTATTCTATGTCCCCTTAGTAGAAGACACGACAGAAAAACCTCGACTCTGTAGGGTGTCCCACATTAGTTGCCTCAAACGATAAACGTGTTGTGGGATATATAATGTCTAGATCTCTTCTTGGATTATCCAATGTCTCGTAGACAGAGAGCAGATTGAAAAAAAGAACAATCCCTTATTCTGCCGAGGGTGGCGAATGACGGCACATTAGTCACCTCTTAAGATAAGCATGCAGCGGTATAGCAGGTCTATTCTATCAACGAACCTTCAGAGGTCATTTCTTTATTCTAATCACCAAGTATGTAAGATGAATCACTTCAAATTTATAAGTTATCTCTTTTTTAAAATAACTCCCATATGACGGTATCACAACTAATCATAACTCAGAAATATTTTTTTTATAAAAATCGTAAATAAATATGATATATTAGTATAAATATTGATGAGGGAATGTTTTATTTTCTGACTTGGAATCCAAGTTATCAACGGAAATTATACATTAGAAGCCATTTCCACTACTTATGAATATGATATAAAACAGACTTAAGTCTTCTCACGACAAGGATGGTAGCTTGTTACATGCAATACCGCATTATACTTGTAGTAGTACTACTCTCCGCCTGGAAGTTGATTGCCTCCTAACTCTCCATTGCATTTACCGTATGCCTTACTTCTATCTACGGTAAACCCAATATCGTAAGTGCACTATATTCATTGACCCCTATTATAAATCTTAGATAGTGTTACCAAGGTCCCGCCCATGTTTTTCTCCCACATTGCAGGGCAGGGTTGGAATTCCGAGACAATCTCAGCCCCTGACACCAGAGCCCCTAGACTAGCGTTACACACACACACAAACATATATATATATATATCTGTGTGTATTCGATGCGTTCTACGGCTTTATAAAATCGAGATAGTAACAATTTAATTTTAGCTTATCCTGTTAGTACAAAAATATCTGCACGTGACTGGCACAGCCCCTCGTAAGACGTCTCATTAGGCCCAGCGTTCTGTTTATGGGAACTTTCACTGTTTTTAATACCGTTTCTGTGTGTGTTGGTGGCATCGGCAGGATTTCATGGTTCAACGCGGCAGTGAGATCCCACTTGGGTCGGTGGTCTCGGAGATATTTTCATCGACAGCTTGATTGGTATTTTGAACCTGTGCTGTGTCAGGAAGGGAGTTTACGTACACAACAAACAGCTTGTCTTGTGTGGGTTACAGATGCTGGAAGTGTCACAATGAGAGAGCACATCGAGATCTGACTGTTAACACACCTCGGCGATACTACGGCCGAAAGCCCAGCTGTTCTCCCGTGTTTTCATCTTATCCCGGCTTCTAATCCGATATCTACTTAAAGGTAAGTCTTTTTGCTTTCATATTATTTATACATATAGTTTGGCAAAAATCTTCTGGATCAATTTTGTTATTTTTCGCGATAACATTTAATATTGTAGTACATGTATGCATATCGAAAAATGAAAACAGCGAATTGACCACATACGATCAGATTATTTATTGGAGTGTTTATATTGAATGCTCATCGATATTACAGTCGAATTAACAATATTTGACATCCAATCTCGATATTACTCGCTAAATTGATTGATTTTGTCACGGAACATTGTTATACCTTACTCGTATCGAATAATCGAATAGCGAGTAAACCAGAGCGATCAAATGACACTGGGGCGTTTTGAATCAATGGCCGACGATATCCCAATTGAATGAACTACGTTTGACACTGATGTTGTATTAGAGATGGAATATGGTAATTCATTGTTAAATTGATTTTGATAAATATTGAATATGATATGTATTTATATTACACTGGAACTAATGTAACTCTTAACATATAGATAATGTAAACATTATTTATTGTACAACAATTTTGAAACAAGCTATTTCAACCTATATTGATCACTCTTATTGGCCCGGATGTAAGCACGCGGGGGTATTAATGTGTTGTGGGAGGAAACCGGAGTACCCGGGGAAAACCCAGGTGGACGGGCAAGTGGCCCCCCCTACCTTTTCACGTCCGATCTGAGAATCGAACCCCGGCCGCCTTGGTGTAAAACGATCGTGTTATCCACTGCGTCACCCGACCAACCTATATATAGATATTGAACTTGAAAAGAACGGAATACGAAACGTAAATACGACACATTGTAATAATCTTACTGTATTGATTGTGATTAGTACACAATGTATGAATTACTTTTGCAACTTTATTTCAAAATAAAATTCATAATAACTACACTGATTATCGAATATTGAATATCAATATTATAATCACATGGTATGGATTGTGATCAATACACAATGTATTGATTACTCTCGATATTCGATCGCGTTGTTATTTGAATATCAAAATTATTCATATGTCTGTTAACACTTTGATTCGAATTTCAGTATGAAGAATTGTATTAATTGCAATGAATATCAATGATCGGTATTATGCAATCGTTCAAATTACACTAGGATTGAAATTTAATTTGAAAGATTTACGTTGAATATTGAATCTCTGTATTATGCAATCGTTCAAATTACACTAGGATTGTATTTTAATATGAAAAAATTACGTTGAATATTGAATCCCTGTATTATGCAATCGTTCAAATTACAATGTACCCAAGGATTGAATTTCAATATAAAATATTTACGTTGAATATTGAATCTCTGTATTATGCAATCGTTCAAATTACACTAGGATTGTATTTTAATATGAAAGTTTTACGTTGAATATTGAATTTCTGTATTATGCAATCGTTCAAATTACACTAGGATTGTATTTTAATATGAAAAATTTACGTTGAATATTGAATCTCTGTATTATGCAATCGTTCAAATTACTCTAGGATTAAATTTCAGTATGAAAGATTTACGTTGAATATTGAAGTTCTGTTTATGCAATCGTTTAAATTGCAACTGGGAAACTGATTTAGAGATAAATTTACATACGTTTTAATGTATATCCATACACAGAAAATTATCCATTACATACACTGTATATTGTAATTCCAACTCATTCATTTTATTGAATATCAATACTACATATTATTGAATTACACTGAATATTGATTATATATCAAAAGTGTATGGTTAATTACACTGTTAATGAACATATTACACGTTGAATTATACACAAAGCATATTGAATTGTACGTGTAACATTGTATCTTTTAACGGAATTATTGAATACGAAATATTGACTATTGCACATCGTTTAAACCACACTGGAAATCTGATTTCATTATTACACGTATTCATTACATCATCGATTTCAATAGTATTCATTCGATAGTACATGACATTGAATTGACAGACGTAATAGTTATCAATCTATTTTGACAGGATGATAATTAATTAGTTCCGGTGAATCTTTTGACATTGAGAAGCAATATAACGTTGTCAGACATCCCTGTCATTCAAATTTCAAACAAAATCCATCAAGTGCTTCTCACAGGGGAATTTTCACTGGGAAAGTTGATCGAACTATATTTTCTACATTTCAGTCAGTCAAATAAGATTGATTGAAAACTCCGTATTTGAACGTTTCAACTAAATTCAAGCTGATTCCAATAATCCTGGCTTGCTATTTATACCGCGTAGCAGTGTAACATAAGGTTAATTAAAATCTATATTTAGTGTTTTGGCTCTGACGGATGTCAGATGTAGAAAATACACCACGCAATCAACAAATGGTCAAAGTCGATTTGTTGCGGTCAATCATTTCTCGATATATGTTGGTTTCTGTATCACGTGGACCTGATTGGTCAGTTGATAAAAACAATCTCTCCAATGATGGTTTTCTGATCAATGCGAACATGTATATATCCATTCCGTATTACATGTACCAAGACGTCTGTCCATGGCTAGTTTGCTGGAGCAGGGTGTGGCTATATGTTACGCCATTTGATGTTACACAATTTTTTCTCGAGGTTTTTCTTATATCTATATCCAGTGTTTGGTTGTTTTTGTTTTGTTTAACGTCCTATGAACAGCATATGTCATTTAGGGACGTGCCTCCGTGTATGTTGTGTAAGCGTGCATGTGTGTATGTGTGCTGGAGACATGGTATGTTGGGGTACTTGCCTCCTTGTGGTAGCGCGGATCTGATGCCGACTTTATAGTGCTATCTCACTGAAATACCATGCCGAAGAAACCCAACACAGCATTCCGCCCGGTCACATTGTACTGACAACGAATACCCCAGTTGTTGCCATTACCTTTAGTGCTGAACGTTAAGCAGCGAATAACAACTCCCATTTTAAAGACTTTGAAATGTCCCGGCCTGGGGACACAACCCATTGCCTTTCTCACCTGGGCGAACGTCCAACGTTAAATCAAGAAGCGAGGTTTTATATCCAGTGTACTTGTACGCCCATTTAGTATAGAACATAGTATTCACACCGGTTAAGTTTTCTCATGGTCAATATACGTGTTGATGCTTGACGATAATAAATGCTATCATTATTGTCAATAGTTTACCACCATTGTTGGTTTCCTTGTATCATTTGTCATTTCGCCTATTGAATATGGTCAATGGTTCTCTCCATAGTTGGTTTCTCTTTACAATGTGGCCGTATACGCCCATTAAGTATTGCCAATACTGTACCTCCATGGTTGGTTTCTCTTTACAATGTGGCCGTCTATGCCCATTTAGTATTTCAAAAACTGTACCTCCATGGTTAGTTTCTCTTTACAATGTGGCCGTCTATGTTCATTTAGTATTGCCAATACTGTACCTCCGTGGTCGGTTTCTCTTTACAATGAGGACGTCTATGCCCGTTTAGTATTGCCAATTCTGTACCTCCATGGTTGGTTTCTCTTTACAATGTGGCCGTCTATGCCCATTAAGTGTTTCCAATACTGTAACTTCATGGTTGGTTTCTCTTTACAATGTGTACGTCTACGCCCATTTAGTATTCCAAATACTGTACCTCCATGGTCGGTTTCTCTTTACAATGTGGCCGTCTATGCCAATTTATTATTGCCAATACTGTATCTCCATAGTTCGTTTCTCTTTACAATGTGGCCGTCTATGCCCATTAAGTATTTCAAATACTGTCCCTCCATGGTTAGTTTCTCTTTACAATGTGGCCGTCTATTCCCATTTATTATTGCCAATACTGTACCTCCATGGTTAGTTTCTCTTTCGATGTGGCCGTCTATGCCCATATTATTGCCAATACTGTACCTCCATGGTTAGTTTCTCTTTACAATGTGGCCGTCTATGCCCTTTTATTTTTGCCAATACTGTACATCCATGGTTAGGTTCTCTTTCGATGTGGGCGTCTATGCCCATATTATTGTCAATACTGTACCTCCATGGGTTAGTTTCTCTTTAAAATGTGGCCGTCTATGGCCATATTATTGCTAATACTGTACCTCCATAGTTAGTTTCTCTTTACAACGTGGCCGTCTATGCCCTTTTATTTTTGCCAATACTGTACATCCATGGTTAGGTTCTCTTTCGATGTGTCCGTCTATGCCCATTCAGTATTTTAAATACTGTACCTCCATGGCTAGTTTCTCTTTACAACGTGGCCGTCTATGCCTATTTATTATTGCCAATCCTGTTACTCCAGAGTTCGTTTCTTTTTACAATCTGGCCGTCTATGCCCTTTTATTTTTGCCAATACTGTACATCCATGGTTAGGTTCTCTTTCGATGTGTCCGTCTATGCCCATATTATTGCCACTACTGTACCTCCATGGCTAGTTTCTCTTTACAACGTGGCCGTCTATGCCCCTTTATTAATACCAATACTGTACCTCCATTTGTAGTTTCTCTTTACAATGTGGACGTCTATGCCCATTTCTTATTGCCAATACTGTCCCTCCATGATTAGTTTCTCTTTACCATGTGGCCGTCTATGTCCATTAAGTATTTCAAATACTGCACCTCCTTGGTTAGTGTCTCTTTACAATGTGTCCGTCTATGCCCATATGATTGCCAATACTGTACCTCCATAGTTAGTTTCTCTTTAAAATGTGGCCGTCTATTCCCATATTATTGCCAATACTTTACCTCCATGGTTAGTTTCTCTTTACAATGTGGCCGTCTATGTCCATTTAGTCCATAGTTCGTTTCTCTTTACAATGTGGCCGTCTATGCCCATTAAGTATTTCAAATACTGTACCTCCATGGTTAGTTTCTCTTTACAATGTGGCCGTCTATGTCCATTTATTATTGCCAATACTGTACCTCCATGGTTAGTTTCTCTTTACAATGTGGCCGTTTAGGCCCATTTAGTATTGGCAATACTGCACCTCCATGGTTGGTTTCTCTCTATAATGTGGCCGTATATGTCCATTCAGTATTTCAAATACTGTACCTCCATGGTTAGTTTCTCTT